CCAGTTCTCAATCCACCTCACTATCCACCCATCCAGTCTACCCTTCCTCAGATTGTCTATGAGGATGTTGTGAGACAGTGTTGAAAGCCTTGCTGAAGTCAAGGGAGACAATATCCACTGCTCTCCCCTCATCTGTCCAGGTAGTTGTTTCACCAACCATCAGGTTGGTCAAGCATGATTTACCTTTAGTGAATCCATGCTGACTACGTCATCCATGTGGATAGAGGTGCTCCATCACCTTTCCAGGGATTGAGGTGAGGCTGACTGGCTGGTAGTTCCCTGGGTCCTCCTTCCTGCCCTTTTTGAAGACTGGGCTGACATTTGCTTTCTTCCAGGCATCTCTTCTGATCATCAAAATCTTTCAAAGATGATAGTGAGCAGCCTAGCTATGGTGTCAGCTCACAGCTCCCTCAGCACTCCTGGATTCATCCCGTTAGGGCCCATGAACATGTCGATGTCAAGTCTGCCTAGGTGTTCTCTAACCCAATCCGCCTTGACCAAGGGAAAATCTTCCTTCTGACATTCCTTTACCCTGGTCTTCTGGGTCAGAGATTATTGAGGGGATATTCAAACCTCAACTGGCCATGGCCCTGAGCAACCTGATCTAATTGACTGGTTACTCTAATAGCAATCAGATGTTCTTTTCATCACAAATTGTTCTGTAGCTCTCTGAGACAGGTTCCTTTAAAAAAGATGTAATAACTCCTGGCTACTGGAGCACACTGCAGCTTCTCTGTTTTGCTGTTTTAAGTGACTTATGGGTAGCTGTGGAACTTCAGCTGCAGGTTTAAGGCAAAAATACATTTTTATGTGTCCATTTTTTGTTTTAATACTGGACTTAGATGATTAGGAGATGATACTGTTAGAACTGAACAATAACTTCGAATGACTTCTGGTATGTATTTGGATACCTTTTGAGGGTTAAATCACAGGCTAAACACTTCAGATTTGTTCATGGGGTATGAATGAATGGTCTTTATTGTCTGAATTGGGCAATCTGACTACAGATGAGACTTGAGACAGTGACATCGTGGTAGATGAATGGATGATGAGACCTAGCAAGGAAAGAAGGAAAAACACTGTTCACTGAGCATATGTGAGTTTGTTCACTGAGCATAGGAGTTTGTGAACCATAAATAAGTGCAAAAAGGAAGTACAGGGTATGTGTAAAAAGGCAGTGGCAAACAGGATACCACGTCTCATGCCATCAAAGAATCAGTAGAAGCACAGTAGGCAATCTTCCAGTCAGCTGCCTGCACTGTATAATCAAACATGCACTCTGTCAGAAAAGCATCTGGTATTAGTTGCCAACTCATATTGACATCAATATACAGTATGATTGTGAAAACATCAAGTAGCATGTGGAGTTCTCTGACTATATCTACACTAATGTGGTAGTCTGTGTCTTCCCAGTCATAGCAAAAATTAAGTGTGCATCTCCGGCTTGGGCTGTTTGGAGGGTATTTGTACTTTCATGAACTTCTGAGGCATGCTTGTAGCCTTTAATCTCTGAAACAGACAAGGAAATGCAAATGGCCTGGATATAGACCTTACTATACTCCTAATTGGCTGGATGAGGTTTTTAGTTTCATTGCTGTGGGTTCCTTTGCCATTTATAATGCCAATAATTAAACATCGTATTTAGTCTGAAACTGCCATTCTTTTCACTTGATGTTTGGACATGAGCCAGCAATGTGTGTCTGCAGCCCAGAAAGCCAGCTGTATCCAGGGGTGCGTCATCGGCAATGTGGTCAGGAGGTTGAGGGAGGTGATTCTGCCCACTCTGGTGGGACCCCACCTGCAGTGCTGCATCCATCTTTGTGGTTCCCAGCACAGGAAGGACATAGACTTGTTGGACTGAGTCCAGAGGAGGGACAACATGATGATTAGAGGGACAGAGCACATCTCCTACGAGAATTGGGATTGTTCAGCCTGGAAAAGAAAAGGCTTCGGGGTGACCTAACTGCAGCTTTCCAGTCCCTGAAGGGAGCCTATAAGAAAGAGGGAGAGGGACTTTTTACAAGGGCATGTAGTGATGGGACAAGGGGGAATGTTTATAAACTGAAAGAGAGTAGGTTTAGATTAGATGTTAGGAAGAAATTCTTTACTGTGACGGTGGTAAGACCCTGGGACAGGTTACCCAGAGAAGTTGTGGATGCACCATTCCTGGAAGTGTTCAAGGACAGGTTGGATGGAGCTTTGAGCAACCTGGTCTAGTGAAAGGTGTCCCTGCCCATGGCAGAGGAATTGGAATGGGATGGTCTTTAAGGTCCCTTCTAACCCAAACCATTCTATGATTCTATGTTTGATTTTCTTGAACTGGAATATTTCTTTAAGGCCCCAACCAAAGAGGGTTTACAAGACATAGAGCTGGGGGAGCAAGATGCATTGTTCCTTTAAGGTGGCTAATGTATGATAACAAACTAAAATAAAATTACAGTGGCATAATCAAAGGACACTCTGCAACTTTCATATGTTAACAAGTTGAAGTAAAGATTGTGTGGAGCCTGGCTGCATCAAAAGGAGTTTGAGACTACTTTTATACTAGCTAAGGTTTTGCTCTCTCTTACCTTGCATCAGGTAAGAATGCGCCTTTTTTTCTCTTAACAAAGGCAAGTCTGGAGTCCAACCAAACATAGCTTTTGGTTAATGGTGATGGATTCCTAATCTAATCCACACAATATCAGTGTCTTGCTCTGGGGAAATTCTGAAGGTGGGATGAGAGGGAAAGAGGAAGAAGATGAGCATCTGATTTCTGTGTAGAGACAAGTGACAGAGATGTTTTGGGAATATCTTTATTCCTCTGAAAAGCAGAGTGGTTACTACCAGGAAGAGACAATCTTTATTTCCTCTTGTTTGCTGGCAAGACAGGCTATTTTCTTCATGCTGGTTGCCGTTGCCTTCTTTGTAGAAAATCTGGCAGAAAGCAGTTTGATCTTCAATGACATGTGGCAAGGTGCCTCAAGCTGTGTCAGGGGGAAACATCCTAAATGGGAAACTTCAAGTGGAAGGATAGGACCTCACCCTGAACAAATAGACTTTCCCTCCCACTGCCTTGAGAGCAGAATTTTGCGCCTGGAGAATGCTGGCAGACAAGATCCAAGCTGGCTGTGATGGGGCTTGAAGATACAAATGAACAATGAGGCTGTCCTGGGGGCACTGACTTTGCTTGGAGAAAATTCTCATAGTACATTAAGACTTGAAGTTATGAGTTTTATGAATTTGAGGCTAACTGGGGTCAGTCTTTGTGTTTGTAAGTTAAATCCAACTTGCTCTTTCACCACTGATTCGCTGGGATCAGTGGGTGCTGTATTTGTAAAGGTGAAACTATTGACTATGTTGAGAGATGGGAAGATGTATGCACTTTCGTCTCTGCTCTCTCTGTGAAGCCTTCTTGCTTTAGAACAAGCTGTCTCTGTGGGTAACACCAACTGCAGGGCATTAGGGGCTGTGCAACAGGACACCTGCCCCTTTCATTTCCTTGGGACCATTTTTTCTTCATTCATGTGGACTCCTCCTGAGATCTTCCTTGCTCTCAGCTGTGCCACTTTGCTCTCACTTTTTCCTGCTTTCTTGCTTAAAATGGGGGATTCCACACTGGTTGGGTTTCCTGGCAGCAGCAGAGCTGCTGTGCCTGGCTGGCATGGACTGAATGAGAAGCCAGAACTCAATGTGCGCAGGAGAGGCGACCTCATGGCCCCAAGGAGTCAGTTCCCACCTTTGCTTGTGGCACTAGTATGAGCTGGAAGGTGGCTCCCAGTCAGAGACTGGCTCCAGCAAGGTGGCTCCCAGCTTGTTCTGCACACAGGCAAGCACAAAGCTGTGCTGATTTTCTCAACCCCAGGCACCAGCCATGCTTGGGAACTGTCTTGCAGCTCTGCTGCTCACAGAGACAGACAGGAGCTCGTGGTTTGGACTCCTGGTCTTTCTTCCACGAAGTGTGAAGGAAACAGACCAGCTCTTGGCCCAGCCTCTGGGTAGGGAGTGTCTCATGGGAACCAGCTCTCTGTGCCCACAGGAACCAGCAGGAGACAAGAACTGGCTCTTGGCTCGTGTTGCTGGAGTAGTCGTACGGCAATTAGGAAGGTGTATAGCAGCTGGGAACCTCTGGCCTTGAGCTTGTCTTTGGAAGATATCTTTGCCCTATATTTTTGACTGAGACAAGTGGGCACTGTCATTTGAGACAAGTACTTCCTCAGNTCTTATTGTTGTTTTCATTAGTTAAATATACACAATGTATGGTCCTTATTACTGTAGAGCTTGGTGTGTATCAAATAGTTTCTTCTTCACCAAAACTGCTGAGTATTACCAGTCTGCAGAGTGTTTTATAAACCAGCTGTGACTACTAACCTGAACTAAACTTTGAAGCTTGCATGTAGGTATGATCAAACATACTTGTCGCACTGCCCCCCTCCTTGTAGAAGATATTTAGGGTTAAAGTCTGCTTAGTGCTGGAGGTGAGGATAAGTTTTTGTTCCTGCCTGCCATGTCTCCTTCATCCCCTGTCCTGCATGTCACTGCTCCTGTAACTAACTACAGAAAAGTAGATCTTGAAATAATTGAAATAAAGTTGATTTGTTTGAATCATGAGAGCTCAGAATAATTCAAAAGCCTGAATTATAGTGACACAAAACTTTCATTGTTAGCAGCTTGAAAAGATTATGATGAAAATCGGCTAGCTTTAGTCATCTTTTTATAAATTGTCTTTTAATTTTAATCTTTTCTTGCTTGACTTTGAAACTTGAAATATCTGCATTTCTTCTAATCAAATGCTGTGTGTATAAAACTTCACAAATAAAAAGATTATTTGGAAACTATTTGTGAGGGTGATGGTTTTGATGGTTTTGGTAAACAAAAAAACTTAAGTTTAGTTCACAATATGTTAGTAATTTATAAGAATAGTATTGCTTTCCCGTTACAAAATATCATATTTGTTTATATGCTTGTCTCTATTGTTGTTTTATTTTATTATTAAATAAACATTTTTCTTTTCTTCCCAGAGGATGCTAAGCAAGTTTTTGGCCAGACCACAATTCATCAGCACATTCCTTTTAACTGGAATTCAGAGTTCGTACAGCTGCATTTTGGAAAGGATAGAAAAAGACACCTAACATATGCGGAGTTCACTCAGTTTTTACTGGTGGGTCTAATACAATGCAGTTTGTCAAGAGTAATAAGAAGGATGCAAGAATCAAAGTATTTGCAAACGTGCCAAATACCGTGCTGTTAGGAAAGTTGAAATATAGACCAAGTGGAGGCTTCTACAGTCAGACTGCTGGACTTGTATAGTATGTTGATAAATAGGATATGCTATTGGTAAAACTGGTGATTCAGACTAGCGCAGGTTTTCTCCTTTTCCTTTGTATTTAGCACCTGAATGCAGAAGGTGATTTTTTTCTACACTGTTGTGTAGACAGAGACATGAAATTAAAAACCTAGACTTTTATGTCTGAAAATCTCCTGTTTATTTAAATCCATGAGTCAAAGAATGTTACTGAACATTTTGGATTCACCTGCTAGACTAGTATTAAGTACTTTTGTCTGTAAACAGCATGTTTACCAAATATGTATTTAATTCAGAGATGATATCCAATGAAAATGTTTTGTTGCAAGCCATTTCCACACACTCTCAGATAGGGCAATGCTACATAGTTTGCTTGTGGTATATAGAGAAGAGAATACTGTTTTTTGCAAGGAATTCTTGGCTGTTCATACTTGTGGATACTTTGTTACAGGAAGTAAAATATTATGCTAATAAAAAAATAAACATTAACTGTATTTCAGTGGTACTGTTAAAAGTAGTTTTTGGTAGGAAGAGTGATCCTTGAAGTGGTGAAACACGTGAGTTTTTATTTGAATGCCTCCTGAATATTTAATGCCTGTATTAGTATTTACACTAGAGAGTTTTCAAATGGAAACCTGCTTCAAGATTGCAATGTTTCTTTTTTTCTTGTTTACACAAGTATGTTAGTTCACAGTAGGAGGTGGTATCATTTTGATGAAGAATAATTAAGATAATGCTATTGAGACAAATGTTTCAAATTGACTTTGTAGAACAGAGCCTAATTAACTTTGTATGAAGAGGACGTCAGGTATCATATGATGAAATTGTATTCCCCCAGGTTTTGTACTGACTATTGTAACTCCTAAGTAGCTAAGGCACAGACCAGTTTTCTGACAGAATAAGGAATTAGAATATCTTTCTAGCTTTCTAGCTTTGGAGATGAGTCCTAACTACTAGGCTCTCTCATCCTGTGGAGGGGTGTTCCTTTCTACTATCTGAAAGGATTTTTTTGGATGTGGTCATATTTTGGGGATAGTTGTATTTCATTTTGGTGTGTCTTGCCACTGCCTCCTTTTTTTTTTTTTAAACTGGCTCTACTGCAAAAGTGAATCTTAGCTAGTTTCAGGGCAGAGTGAAAGGTTGTGTTGGAACACGTCAGTGGTCCTCATAAGCCAGACAGCCCTTTTGGTGATGATCCATGTAGGACAAGAAAGAGGGAGGAAGAACACTGGAGAATGAGGATGATGATTCTGAGTGTCCTCTAGAGAAGTGGGGTACACTTAGGATAAGTTCAAAGGCTGTTAATAAAGATGCTCTCAACATTGGTGCAGACAGTAAGGACTTTCAAATAAATTAATTCTCCTAAGACTGAAGCTGCCCGCTGTCAGTACAGTCTGTTAGGATGCTCAGTCAGTCCCAGTAACTGGGTACATCTGTTACTCACTTTCTAGACCTGTAAATCTTTGAATCACATAAGTTTCCCTGCTGATATATTATAGATGCAGAAGTTTGGGCACAGAAATGGTTCTCAGCACAATCTGGAGAGTTAGTGTTCACAGGCATAGAAATCTTCCTTTAAGCTCTGTAACCTTTGGTATTCAGCCTTTCCTTCTGCCTGTGCGTGAGTCAGTCTTCTTGATCAGGTGTCTAGACCTTGGACCTTAGACAACAGGAGACCACAGTGGATATCAAATTACCTTTCTGCATTCCTGATGTGTGAATGCACTTACATTGCACTTAACATGGACCCGATGGTTCTGTATGGTGCTTCAGGTACTGCTTTGTAAGTACAATGCAGTTTGCAAATTTTAATGTAATAATCTAGCTAGATTCAAATTCTTTTACATTCATGTTTGATATCTGTCACAGCATTTGAGCTAATCATCACTTCTGGCAATGCTGAAGGTACTTGGAAAATAACATTAGTATATTTTATCCATGCACGAGATGGATCTCTTGTGGCTTTAAATAAGAAGAGTTTATATGGGATGCTGAATATTTATATCGTGCCAGCACTTTTTCTGTCTGCAGTAACTGAGATGCCTGAAAGTATAGCCTCCAAAGTCCTTGGCTCTAATACAGTTAACAATCTATTTGCATCAACTTAGAGCTCAAGGTGTGTTGTTTTACCCTGCTTCTCATTTTGCTAGCTTAAAATTAGCTCATATATCTCCAGTATATATCCATCACATCTGTTTGAATATGGTCATGTTCCATCATCACTTAATTGGCAAGTCTGCCTTATGAAGAGCAACATCAGCCCCTTTCTTGGCGTGTAGAATCTATTCCACAGGATGAATTTTAACATATGCTTATATGTGGGCCTGGTAAATCCATTTCCACATTGTCTGGGAATTCATTTATACCCAGCGTATTGGTTGATGAAGTAGTACTCTCTATAATTGAACCCTGGGATCTGCTCCAGTGGCAAGGATTGTGCTGTATCTGGTGGCTTGTAGATCCATTGGGATGGAACGCAAACATAAATTTCTACCTAAGTGGAAAGTAAAGAAGCTTTTAATGAGCTGTAAGTGGAAGCTGAGGTGAAATCTCTAGATAGGATATAATTTCATTAAAATTCTAGTGCCAGTGTGCCTGCCATGATGTACAAGTTGATTTTTCACAGTCATATGCTACTTGGGAGAATTCTAGACTTCCAACATCAAGGAAGAAGCTCATTTTCTATGTATATCTAAGTTTACAGAAAGTCTAGTCAGAGAAGGTTCTTTAGGATGTGTGATTTGTATTGCAAAGTAATGAGGATTGTGTTTCTTTAAACCTTTATGTGTCTAGGTAAACAATAAGGGACCGAAATAGGTGAAATAATAAAAATTATTGCAACTCAGATAGCAACTCTGAAGACTACAGCTTTGCTTTATTGTTTTTCAGTTTATTTTTAAGGTGATATTTTTTATATTAGCTGCATACACCCAACACAGGTGATGTTACAGACATCTCACAAAGAATTCCAGGATAAATTGCTGGCAGCTACTGAGCCTCATTTTGAAATGTAGTTAGTCGTGCTGTGAGTTATCTCAGCATTCAGGTGTGGAGACTGAGGGGATAGCCTTTCTTTTGAGGTAAACACTTAAAGGAGTTATGCATTGGGCAATGATTAGAAAAGTGACATGTCTGGTTTGTTTGTGACAGACTTTATAGGTGAAATTTAGTTTTGAGACTGTATTACAATGTAATGGTCTGCACGTTCTTGTATGCCATGCTGCCATCCATGGTCATGGTTTGGGAATGTCAGGTGGCTGAAGATCCCTATGCTTCTTTCCACTTGATGCAAGTGGACATGTAGCACTGGTCAAAATAACTGTAGCCTAGAAGGTCTCTATCTTTCTGAGAAGGTGGTATCAACCTTCTCTATCTATTTGCAGTATGCTTAAACCATTCTGAACTGGAACTTACATTCTGAACTAAGGAGGAGGTGTGAATAGGGAGTTCCAGAAGACTGACATCATCCCATTCAGGGTTTTGTCTTGCTGTCTGTCTGCAGCTAAATGGCTTTTTCTGGCTGACAAAGATGAGCAAATGGCAGCACTGAGTCCTTGACCAGGTGTTTTAACCAAGCGGGATAATTCTTTCTAGTGCTAGTGCTCAACTGTAGTACTAGTAGCCTTTTTGCAATTAGCTAGGTGATGACAAGAAACATGCACTTCATGTATCTCTTTGGAGTGTAAGCCCTGCTTTGTTCTGTGGCTGAGGCGTCACTGTCAGCCAAAGTCCCACCAATGGTATACATACCTCCAGACTCACTGATGGGTCTACAGGGATGGTAACAGATTGGACTTTTGCAAATGGTATACAGGTTTTTTTACTGCATCTTAGTGCTGGATTCTAACATAACAACTGCCAGCAGTTTCAGTGGTTAAAAGAAATTGAATGAGGGAAGGTGAAGAAAGCAATATTCAGAGTTTCCCATGTAATCCTTTTGCTAAATAAAATTTATTTTTTCTTTGGTGATGCTTCCATTTAATAACAAACACCTGCCAGGTGGTGAGTATTTAGGATACAGGAGTTTTTATACCTAATTCCTTTTCAGAGCTCTCTGCCTCCCAAGTAGCTGCCAGCCTCAAGCTGATGAAGTCTTTTCGTGTTCATGTACTCGTCCACCATAAACCTTCCAAAATTGCTTGCTTACAAATTTCTGTTCAAATTATAGTCTCAAATGAATTGAAGTAAGAGCTTACATGGCTGCATCCAGCAAGAGTGAGTATTATTGCTGAATTGTAACACCTCCACGTAGGGGTCTGTAATGTAAAGGAAACGTGGCAGAACTGAAATTGTACCACTTCAAATTATAAGCCCCACAAGCATTTCCCATCAAAAGAAGAAATTTCTGAATAATTTTGTGAGTGAAGCATGGATCAGTCCTTTCCCTCCATTCCTTTCCTCCTTGTGCCTAATGTAGTAGGAGGTTTTCATCGTACCTTTCAGGTCATGGTACAGTGTTCTAATTAGAAATTAGAACTAAAATTGGGGGAATCAGGAGGCAAATGAAAAGACAATCATGGTTTGAGTGGCAGTGTGAGCTGAATGAACAGAAGGAGGGAGGGAGTGGCAGATGCAGGCCTCTGGCATGTCTGATCCTACTCTGTCTGAATTTGCCTTTTGCCTTTCACTCTATTTCCTTGAAGGCTGCTGTAAGACAAATATCAACTTACAGGAGATCATATTCACTATGAACACAACATGATGGTGGTTCTTGACTAGCCTGAGTCCTAGATTAATATGTCTTTTAAGGCATATATTTGCAAATATAATGGAAATAATTGGATAGTGTCATGGTCCACCACAAGACTTGCTTAGTATTGCTGACATATTTTTGCTTTGATTCCATTTTCTGAATAACTGATTATGAGTATGTATTCAGACTAAGCCCTATATTTCCAATGAAGAAGTTTTTATAATCCTTGCAGTTTAAAGGGAAGACATGACAATGATTTGTTTTCCTCCATTCAGCTGAGAAATACAGACTGGGAGCTCTGACTACATCACCAAAAGATATATTTCTGGTTTTTTGCAAACCTGTAGAACTGAACAAAATGTTCACATGTATTATCAAGTTACTATCAGTGCTTGATTGTTTCTTTTAAATGGGAAAAAAAAAAGTAGTCTAACAGTAATTTAAGAAGAAAGGGTGAAGGTCACAGTAGGAAAGATACAGTATGAGGGATTAAATGCCTTTTTTTCTCCTCTTTTCTCTCAGTGGTACATTAGAATCACAAAATGATATTATCGGAGGGTTGTATCAGATAATGCTTATGCCCGTTACTACTGTTGAAATATTGAGAACTGATCTTTAATCAGTCACGATACAAGGAGTTCTGAATTAAACTGCTGGTGTCTTTTGTAGACAAAAACCTTTATGTTTTAAATGGGGATGCTTTTTCAGGGAATGCTTTCCAGATTAGTAGGTTTCTACATGGAAGTCTCTGATGATTGCATTGTCCTTGTTCAAGGAGTAGTGAGCACTTTTACAGAAAGTATTTTGACCTGCTGTGACACATTCAATATACTGGATAATGCACATCATGGAACACTTTAATGTTCATGAGTGGAAGATTACCTGCACTGGCTGTTGATATGTGTCCTCCGTTTCTCAGTTAAATGAATTGCACAATGTAATGTCCAGAAGGCAAAGAAATCATGATGTTGTCCTAGATATTGAGCTCAGTGATGGAGACCATATATGCTCCTGATAGAAAAGGACAAAACCTAGAGGTACAATATCCAATTAGATTAAATGTAGTCCTGTTTTGTTAAGTATGAGAAATCTTGTAAGACTGCATTATTTATATTAAATCTAAGTGTTAAGATGATGATTTTGAACTTAACTATTTTTTTCCCCTATATGTTTTCAGGAGATACAGTTAGAACATGCAAAACAAGCTTTTGTACAGAGAGACAGTGCTCAGTCTGGAAGAGTCACAGCTATGGACTTCAGGGACATTATGGTCACTATCCGGCCACACATGCTGACGCCATTTGTAGAAGAATGTCTAGTAGCTGTGAGTAGTTCTGGTATTCCAGCTGGCAAAGACCTGGAATACAGATGCGGGATTCCTTTTTTATGTACCTTGACCACTCTGTGTGACATGTAGTCCATCTCGAGGATGTATGTTTTAAGTTCAGCAGTTGTTATCTACACAATATGCAAGTTAACCCTTATTGCAGAATACATATCCTCAATGTTCCTGGTCTCCTGAGAAAAAAGACAAAGCATGTATATGGACCTTAGTAATGGCCTACAAATTAGCATTTTCCTGGCTATTTGCAGTCACTCCATCATAGTAGACTGTGTCAGTATGTCAGAACGCCATTGCATCCCACTTAGGATATCCTTCTCAAAGAACTTGGTTTGTAGTGTAAATTCTAAGCTCCTGAGTGTAATTTCCAAGTACCTGGGACAACTTATGAACCAGAACATTACCCAAGGGCATTCACTGTATATTGACTGGTAGTTGTTACACTTGACTGTACATTTTGTATCAGTTTGAAGTGCACAAACCAAATTAAATATTGCAATTCTGCAATTTCACTGAAGAAATTAAAAAAGGTACATTTGGTTTTGACCACAGTTTCTAATCTGAGGAACTTGTAGCAGCACTTTCCAAGTAATGCAAAGCCTGGCTATATCCAGGTTTAAAGAAATCTGTTATTCTTTGACTTGCAAGGAAGAATTCCAGGGAAATGTGTGAAGTGATGAGAATTGCAAAGTCTGATCAGAATTTTGGAAGATGCAAACAGCAAAAAACATAGCCAGAAGACTTAGAGACTGACAGTGAGATCTGATACTTCCATGGTTCCTTCACAGTCTTGTTACCAGCTTTCTCAGGTCATATGCTCTCTCATAAAACATCAGATAAGATTTTGATTTTTCCCTCAAGGTCAATTAAATTTTGGCAAGCTTATGCATTTTTTTTCTGAAATTTGCTTGATTGCTGATTTTGTAATTTAAATAGAGAATTGATCCAGTAATTTTTCTATGTGCAGACCCAACACCACTTTAAAACAAAGGTTTAGGTTCAGTTCTCACCTGAGAATGAATAACTGTTTGAACCTTATTGTTCCTATTATGTTTGACTGCCTGATATAAGCCTGAGAGCTTATTGCTGGTTTTCCATGACTTGAAATGCCTGTGAATTTAAAAGTTTCAGTTGACCTTTTTAAGAATATGTTTTTATTTTGTTGAAATTTTCTGTATAGTAATATGCTTTACATGTAGAAGTAGATTTCCTCATTACTAGAAATAAGCCAACTTATGAAACATTTCCAACTGAAGTAGTACTGAAACTTGAACTTTGTAAATTACTTCTAGTTATGTTGTTATAATCCTGCATATGTATTTGTTTAGATTTTTAGGATGGGGGAGTTTTATATTCTGGTCATGATTAGTTTCAGTAACATAATAATCTTTCATAGTTTTCTTTATTTTGCACATTTTTTAAAAAAGCAAGCCCATGCTACTGTTGTTCTTTAAAAATAACATTTGAAAATCTTTATTTTGATATTTTTCCTAGGCTTGTAACAGTCTCCTTTCTCTTTTCTTCTTTTACTGTCTCTACTCCAGGCTGCTGGAGGTACCACTTCCCATCAGGTCAGCTTTTCCTATTTTAATGGATTTAATTCTCTCCTTAACAACATGGAGCTCATTAGAAAGATCTACAGTACTTTGGCTGGAAATAGAAAAGACGTGGAAGTCACTAAGGGTTGGTAGAAATGTTTGCAGTCTGGAAGTTTTCTTGGGCATTTGGTTGGGGCGGATGGAGGGAAAGACCTCATCTGTATGCTTTTAAATCAATGGGAGGGGGAAAAAATCCTGTCTCATTAGCATTCCTTGGTTTGCCACTCAGTTTTGTACACTCCTGTTGGAGTCCACCCTCCAGGTTTTTCATTTTGTTTCAATCAGAAAAAGGTCCTAGTAAACTGGTGGGGGGGGCAGGGTGAGGAAAGTATGTAAAGATATTTAAAAGTTTCAAAAACTTCCTAGGACTCCTGCCAAATTGGCAGCCTATTAAAGTGACCTTCAAGGGTAGTTGAAGAATTCCATAAACTTGTATTGGCGGCACAGTAAGCTGATCTACAAGCTTGGAACAAGATGTTATCTGCTATATCTAACCACTTTTATAGAGAATTCCCTGTGCAATGCCAGAGTTTCATTAATGTGGCCTACTGGGACTATGCATGAAAAGTTCCACATCCCTTGACTCCTGTTTTGGGGGGTTTTTTGTTTGCTTTTTATTTTATTTTTTCCTTCTGACCTGCAACTGATTGATACCGTATGTCAAATATCCTAAATTATGCTGGTAGCACTAAGCTTTAAGACCAGAGAGTTGTAGTTACTTGCATGAAGGACTGACTATTTAAATCACATGTTTATGTAGTGGCAAAACCACTTTTGTGTTGAGTCAATTTTATTCCCCTTTTACCCCCCTCCAGCCAGCCTCTTGTACTTTATACTAAAATATAGAGCAACCTTGGGGTGCTCTGGATTATTTCTTCTGGTTTGATTGCATTTTCTTTTCTGTATTTTTATTCTGTTGCAGAAGAGTTTGTTCTGGCAGCTCAGAAATTTGGTCAGGTTACACCCATGGAAGTTGACATCTTGTTTCAGTTAGCAGATCTTTATGAGCCACGGGGGTAAGTGAAGAGTTATCTATCTTCCTCTCTTTCCTTTCCTCCTCTCTAGTTCTTGGAAGGAGTAGAAGGTGATGTTGGGGAACAGGAGAGTGTAGTGTAGTGGCCACGTGCGAGTAGCTTCTTGAGATCTGAAAACCCATCTCTAAGCAAACACTAAGCTGAACTAATTTCTTCAGGCGCATGACGTTAGCTGATATTGAAAGAATTGCTCCTCTGGAGGAAGGGACATTGCCCTACAATCTGGCAGAGGCTCAGAGGCAGGTAAGAACAGAATCTAGTATAATGCTATTCTATTATTTGTTTCCAGTGCCAGGTAAATAGATAACCAACTTTCTTCTGTGTTGTCATCTAAGTTGCTTTTTTCTTGTGTTTTGTAATATCTGTGAGTAATACCATCTTATTAGAATTTATTTTTAGCCTGTGTCATATTCTTTCCGTCTCTTCTTTGTGCCCCTTTCTCTTGGGCTGTATTTTGACAGGTCAAATGTAATTTATTTTGGAAAGATAAAATGTGTAGGAGTGTCATCCCACCATTCAGTAAATATTAGGTGTATACTTAATTAAGGTGTTTATGTTTCGTGATTCTGTTGCTCTCTGTTCTTTTTAATGAGGAAAAGAGACATCCTGCTTGATATATGGATGGTAAAATTCAGTATCTAGCCTATTAAATGGCAGCCCTTGTTCTTAACATACATCCGTGTTCCTGGCTTCAGAGTGTTCTCTGCTTTGCTTTATGCTCTGCTGAATATCAAAACAGGAGAGATTATGTATAGACTAATATCACAGTTTCAGTAAAAACATTATTATTGTCTTCATTTCCAAAACCTATAGGGTATTTACTTTAAGTGATATAACCACAAATGAACTTTTTTTTGTGTTTGAGGCAAAAAGAAATAGGAGTGTTCTTTAAATGTCAAAACCTATTGATCTTTTAGTTTTCATATTATTTTATTATATTTTAGATTTTCCTTGACAAGTTTCTATACACATAGATTTACAACTAAACCTTCTGTTTCTCTCTGTCTCTATTTTAAGGCAGTCTTAACTTTGTGTCTTGTGAGACCAAGGGTTTTTTTGTTGGTTTTCTTTTTTCCTGCTCTAGGTCTGTGCAGAGGCGCCAGTTTGACCACAATGAGTTGATGTAGGCTACATTTTTAGGACTACCAGGCCATAAGCCAGGCCTCTGTGTGTGTGTGTGTACACATGCGTCTCTTTTGCTTCTCTTTTTTCTTCTCCTCCCTCCCCTACATGTGAACACCCCCACCACCACTCCAAGACAGTATCTGGGGTGGTGGTTTGTTTGTGCAGTGACTAAATGTTGATGATGCTGGGATGAATTCAGATGAGTTGGCTCCCAAAAGCTCACCATCTATTCCTAGAAGACTCCTAAAGGAGTTAAAAGCATTTGCATTGGGCTGAATGTCAAGGAATATAAGTTACAATAGGTGGCGGTAAAATGTAGCCAAAAATGTGGTGATGAAAGTAACAGCTTCCTCAGTTTTTGCTTTGGGACCACTGTCTTTGCTAGTATGATTTACATCGTTCTAAGAAGCTAGGATATATGAACCTGCTTAAATCTTACAGTTTCTTCTGCATATATGTCCTACCTTTTCATTTTTCCCATTCAATTCTTTCTTAATGTCAGCTGTTTGATGCTGAGACTGAAAAGATTTTCAGCTACGTTGATACCTTCAATTTCTTTTCTGGCCGATTCCACCTACATTGGAATATTAACTAAAACCTTTTCAGGAAAATATATCCATATATTTATTTTGTCCTTTTACTTGTAGTATTCTAAAAAGAACGTATTACAAAAAGTGATAGTAAGTATGGAAGGTTTAAAGCCCCTGCAGAACTTCTTTTTCTTTATTATTTTCTTTCATCAGATAGTAATTTTAAATCTGGAGCACTTCTGAAATTTATTTTTCGTTGGGTTGAATCTAGCACCCATAGACTGTGAACAAAATGAAATTGTGCGGGTGTTTTATGAAACTTTATTTTCCTTTAGCTAATATGTATGAACAGTGCTTGCATACTTGTTTTGATAGCCTGAGAAGTAATAGATATACCCGGTTTTGGCGACAGTAGAAAGAAATTCCAAACTGGAGTTGCTTTTAGCTGCAGAAAATTAATGACTTAAGATGCAATATGTATGCCCTTTAGACCATTGATTTTAGAGTTGTATAATTTTGTTGTAGTATCAGTCTGTTTTCTTTGCTATTCCAGTCTGAAGAGGCTGTGTTATATGGCACTTACAAATCAGTGAAAAAGAGATAATTGCAAACAAAATCTCCAGTGTATGGTGAGATTTTTTCCAGGTATCTCTGTTCTTAGATCTATCTGCTCATGAGATGTTCTCTTGTGAACTATGATGTTCTGATTATTTTTCTTCTCTTTCCTTTTGCTTTAAATTCTGCCCTGACAGAAAGCTTCAGGTGATGCGTCTCGACCTATTCTCATCCAGATTGCAGAATCAGCGTACAGGTTTGCCCTTGGTTCAGTTGCTGGAGGTTAGTCATGGCTGAGCAAAAGAAGATTCATCTTCACTGTTTGGGTTTTTTCTTCTTTGCTTTTGCCCTTCTTCCCCTTCTGCCTCTCATTTAAGAGTAGAAGGCTTCTCAGACTTGCCCTTGGAGCTCTGTCTAAGGGACAGGATGACTGTAAGATTGAAGATCATATAAGATCATTTGGTCTGCAAGAGTTTTGGAATTTATGAGCCATTGGAGTTTCCAGGTGGTGTTGCTATCTGATTTGTCACCAAACAAGTTTCAGGAGAACACGATTAACAGTGAGGTAGGGCCAGGAAGTGCTTTTGGTTAAAACTGTGGGAGGTAGTTCAATGTATCCAGAATATATCGTGGAGAAAAAAGATACAACTGATATGTTAGATGTAAATGTGAAAGATGACAGTTGCAGTCAAACACTGCAAATGCAAAATCATGTTTTCTTATACCTTGATTTTTATTTGCAGCTGTTGGAGCCACTGCAGTCTACCCAATTGATTTGGTAAAAACTCGAATGCAAAACCAGCGTTCTACAGGCTCTTTTGTGGGCGAACTTATGTACAAAAACAGCTTTGATTGCTTCAAGAAAGTGCTGCGTTATGAAGGTTTCTTTGGGCTTTATAGAGGTAAGTTTAAAAGGTAATGATAAGATATTAATAAGAGTTTCATGCCACTTTGGATTTTTAAGCATTTTTTGTTAAGACTGCAGTTCTGCCTAGTTTGTGCTTTTGCTTCTTCTCTGTTAGAGGAGAAAGGTTTGCAAACTTATTGATAATTAAAACTTCATTGTAATGAGAACATTTCTGTAGGACCTCTCTGTCCTGTCCCTCCTCATCTGCAATAGGGCAACAATAGCAATTTCCTACAGCAAAAATACACTGTTAGTCAAGTTTTCATTTCCTTAGCAGTCCTTAGTACCAGTAGTGTTTTGTCCTGTTTGGTAAGAAGTTAGATCATCTGTGAGTATTTGTTGTTTGGTTTTGGGTTTTTTTTGTTTTGTTTCACAGTTCTTTCTTATCTGTCTTCTTTCTATTTAAAAACAAAGAAAATATGGTGCCTTGTTATTAACCAGATCTTTCTTTGTGATATGTTTTAGACAAAAAAGTTCTGTCTGAACCAACTGCATTTGCCTGACTAATCATTGGAAATAGTCATCTTTATCAAGTTTTATATGTACCTCTTCTTAGCTTGTCACTGTGAGGTCAGCCAGAGCAATTTGCTGGGTTTCAACCCACTTAGCTATATATATACATAACCAATACACCCAAGTTAGGAAGTTATCTGTTTCGAACTGCCTTTGTAGTCAATGCAGAAGGCCCCACTGAAGATTCTGTTCAGGATGTAAATCATCCTAACTTTGGATATCTTAGATGTAAGTGCCTGTAGTTAGATGGTGGCTTTTTTTTTAATTTATTTTGTCCTTGTCCCAGTTGTGGTATCCACTCTGTCAGTTCAGGTAACTCAGAAGGAATCATAAAGAATCAGGAACTACTCCATGAGACTGCAGTTCTTCTCTGTCACAGAGTTAAAGTAAATTATATTTCTGGTGTCCCAGTTATTGAGATCTTTTATTCCTCTCTGCCATATCCATTGAGGATAATTTCAAACTTGAAATCTTTATTTCATTTTTAGTCAGAATATTCATTTTTGCTTAGAAACTTTTTGCACTTTTAAAAATAAGAATATTGTAATGAAAGAAATGAATTGCTAAAAGCAGTTGAGTCAGGAATGAAGAACAGAGGATTTTGATAAAATAGTGTAATGATTGGGCAAAACTATGCACAATTTAAAAAAAATTAACAGTTTATAAGACAATGTGGGAAACAACATTAAAACTAGGTGCTGTGATGTATCTGTACTCTATCACATATGACCTGAGTTACTGGAGGTTGGCTAAGTGGTTCTGTGCAAAATACAGGCTCTCTAATTATTTCAGCACAATTGGAGATGGGAAAGGTCTGTTATTATTGACTGAGTTTGAGGCAATTTTTGGAGTAGACATAATAATTTAATAAAGATTACTGACATGGTCTCTAAATTGTAAGGCTTTATATCAATCAGAATCTTTGAAAGTCACAGTTTTTCGCTAAAGAGGCAAATGTATTCCCTGCAAATGTATATCTGCTTCTTCCAGGATCTCAAAAGAATAAATATGCAGAATTCCACTATTACCTGCTTCTGTCTTATTGAAACTCTGAAGCACAGTGGTTTTTTTCACCTGGAAAAAAACCTAAAACTCAGAAATGTGTGTTCTTACCTCCATCTGCTTGCCTTGTCTTTGGAGTGATTTTTTTCATTGCCAAATTTAGGGAGCTTTAGGAACCTTCACCAGTATAGCTTGTCCTTCCATTCCCCATCCCCTTTACTACTTTTCAGTCTTTCAAGTAATACTGAATAGTGAAATCTCAGGCAGTTTAGTGGATCTGAAATTCTAAACCCAGGCCAATAATCTAATTTCTGGATTATTTAGTAGAACACCATCATTTCAGAGGCAAATTGAGACCTATATTTCTACAGATTCTCTATTTTAAGGGCATCCTGACTTAGCTTCTCTTTTAAGGAGTCAAATAAAGAAAACTCCTTAAAAATCTGGAGCTTCCTCCATGGAATTCTTTAAATTTGCACTGTTACTTACTTTCTAAGGAGATGATGCTGGAGAAAGTTGAACAACTGAGTGCAGAAGTTTCCAGTTCAGCTTAAGAAGACAAAAAAAATTTGAAAGGAGCATTTTATAGATTAGGATAATTACCCAATGTAATGCAGTATACATACAGCAAGAATCATCTCATTCTGGTCTTGAAAACTACACTAGCTAAGACAAACTACAGAGTACATTACTTTTTGCTACTCATCAGTAGCTGCAATTCTTTCTTGCACTGTGATGTGTTCAGATTTAAGTCAATGTGGGTGGTTTTGTCCCCAGTGAAGGAGGGAGTAGTCATTGGTAGAGTTCTCCTGCTTAGCTGAATAGTGATGCAAAACCTTTTAAAAAACAGTAGTAGAAACATTTGGAGGAGTGGTCCCTTTGTCATGACGCACTTCAAGCAAGCAGTAATTATAAGCCCCACTCTGAACTCAGGCATTTCAGATGATATTTTTAACACCAGGCACATATTTTCCCCCAGTGAAGTGAATTGACTTTTCTTTTTTGTATCATTATTTTTTTCCAAACTTGGAAACCATGTTCTAAACCACCATCTCAGGTAAGGATAAATTACACCATCTTGTGGATATAAAGAGAGTACTAAATTTTGTTTGTTGTCAGTTTGGTACTAAGGGTAATCAGTGTTTCCACTGAGAAGATACTTTGATTAAAAAAAAAACCACAAACCCAAACATTATATAAATCTCTGCAGTTTTCATAATATGCATTATTTGAAAGCTGTGTTTTTAGATAATTTTTTTTAAGACTGTATATTTGAGAAAAATTTTTTATCTGCCTATTTCTCAGCATGGCTAAAAAGAATACTTATCTCATATGCCTGTAATTTACTACTGTGTCTACATTTATACCTGAAATGCATATTTAGAAACTTACAGGTATATACATACATATATGCAAATATAAGAAAACTTTGAAAGCTGTGATTTGTCAAGATCTCTTCCAACTGATGAGGTCACCTACGTTTCTTAATATTATTTAAATCAGAAGTCCACCTGATGAGTCACAGACTGCTTCACAGTCTTAAGCAGTGAATCTAGTAGAGATTATTTCACCTGTGCTTGATAGAAAATTTATGGGAAATTTAAGTACCAGAGATAAAATGTAGCTTAGGAAAACATTTGGTAGCCATGCTGTTAATGCGACTTTGCCTAAAGGGTGGAAAAGACAGGAAATGCTGTTGAAGACACTGTCATCTGTGATCGTTAACTGTTTAGGAGCTTGTTAGTTTTATTTCTTTTGATGGTACTTCTGGCACTGCAGTGACTCCAAATGCCATCTAATCTTAGAGTTTAATCATTTGTTCATCATCCAGCTTCATTATTACTGATGGACTCCCATGCTAATGCTACATCAAGACTGTGGCTGAAGCTTTCCTCCCAAATTAGGCAATGAAGTACCATCTCTGTAGAATGGAAATACAAGCTATCTTGTACCCCAAGTTCTGTCAAAGCACAAAGTTTTCAAGGAATACCCCCTTTCCAGTCTGAGGGAGCTTTACTTGAACGGCAACTGGTGATTTCAATTTCTAGTGTGAATCCTGCAATGGAAAAATTTGGCAGTATTCCATTACTGCCTTCCTATAAGATGCCCAAATGGTTTCAAATATTTTACCTAGATGGAGCAACAACTCCTTCAGTCAGTGGGTTTTTCTAATATGAAGGGAAAATTACTTCTGTTACACAGTGTGAAACTGAAGTTTCCCTGTTAGACATCTGAAAAAATACTTTGTCCAAATAAGATTTTTTTTTAACTCAGTGCTATCACAACTGGGCTGGATGAGCTATTGTATATTCACAATGTATTTAGACTGCTTTCAGAAAATAACTTGTACAGTGTCACAAACTGAATGCAGCTCTTGGTGCTCTCCCTTGCATATACCTTCACCTTCCCATAGCGTCCTACTACAACAGTGTCAAATATGAAGAGGTACATCATAATTGCTACTAAAAAACCTTGGATATAAAAAAATGCATTGAATAACATGTTTACTCTGTATTATACTAGCAGGCTACCTATGTGCAAAATGTTATTCTCTGATGTTATAAAAGGCACGTATTTTTAAGACACTGTCAGACATTTCTAAGCCTGTTCTCCATCTGTGTATGCATCATATTGCTGATCTGCTAATGCTTAGTAACACTGAAAAATTCCCAGCATGTCAGGATAACCCCAATGGAAACGTGACATTTTCATATGGGTCCCTTGATGTGCTTGCTTTCTTTCAAAACTTAGCATCTTCATCATGTTTAGAAATCTTTCAACAGTGTTTCAGGGCTCCCATCAAAACAATAAAGAAAAGAAAATTTAATTTTGATGGTCATAGCATATAGAATGCACAGGTACCACTTAAAGATGGCTTTATTGCATAGATATGAGATCAAACGAAGGGTCCCTCTACCTTCCTAAGATGCTTGACACAGTAGGCCTTGCTGATGTCTGGCAAGGCTATAAAATGCAGTTTTAAAATCTGTGCTACCTTTTTTAAATACTGTAATCTACCCTGCAGTAGACATACACAGCATTATCTGAAATTAAACTTACAAAGCACTTTTATATTATAAAATCATGTGTGAAGTAGAGAGAGAAAAAGAGAAAAATGGTCTGAGTTTTTGGTTGTCCAGTTGGGTTTTTCTGCTGTTGGATTTTTTTTTTAACAGCTACCTACTCTATTTAATCTTTCTCTTCTACCTTCAAGTTTTGTGGAAGGTTTTGAGTTGTAACCATCCAATTCAGATTTGAATGCAAAAGGAATGAACCAGGTGGGAAAAAATAACTTGTGCCAAGATAAACCCATTTTTCCTGCTACTTTACAAGGGTCTTTACAAATGCAAAGTCTTGGGACCTGAAAAATGAAAAATGGTTAAAAGGCCGTCTTCAGTTCAGTGATTTGTCCTGCTTATGTTGCTTCTAGAACTAGAGCTTTATACAGATCACTAACTGGACTATTTTTATAATTTCATATCTTGATATTTTAGAATGTCTTTTTCTGTGATTTATTTGATAAAATATGGCTTCAAAGTCACGTTATATATAGCTCAGGTGTAATATATGTATATGTGATTTTAAAATTAATTATCTCTGTGTTGTTTTGCTTACAGACCTGCTCTAATTCTACTGGATTAGGTTTAGGATTAGGTAGTGTCCTTTTAAAGTATATGGAACATTTTTTTAGTCTCTGAAGATATAAATTCATTAGCCGTAATGTTTATATAGAGACACACATGTCTTATAGCAAGATGTAAATATTATAACAATTACAAAGATAATTTTGTAATGAAACAATCCTTTATGTTGTATATTCTTGTGTTTTCTTTATAGTGCTGCATATAATGTAATATTTAATTACACAATTCTGTGTGTCTTAATGTTTTTTCATTGAGGTTTGGATTCAAGTCACCTGTGCAAGTAAAACTGTTTAGAAATTCAAATTTTGAAATTTAACTTACTCTGCAGAATTTCTTTTTGTTTTGATCAACTGTATATGAACTTAGTGTTACTGTATCCTTTTATTTTAATATTCAGTCATAGTTGTCTTGGGTAAATGTTGCATGTATATGTACTGTATAAGGACATTAGTACATAAATATGTTTGGGCCTTCTGATACCACAAGTCAGATGGTGCTTTTCTTCAATGTCATTTCCTTATTAAGAGCATCAGTAGGAACTAGTAAAGATGATGGATGGTAGCAGGATGGAAGAATATACTAAACTAGTGCAAGTGTATTTTTCTCTGTGTTATTCTGACGTTTGGCTCTACAGGAAAATGCTTTTCAGCTAGTTAACTTTTAGAGGTGGAACCTTAATTGTCTTTTTTCCCAAAATAAAACCATGGATAGGTGAAAATGTCAGGCTTTATAGACAATAGGCTAAGGTGCTGCCTGAGCTACTAAAACAAACGGGTCTGTACTAGGAGCTCTAGCTGCTGTGATTTTCTCACATTTCTGGATGGTGTCCTAATTTCATTATGCTGATGAATGCTTGCAACACCATCCTAGCCCTAGGCTTTGTTAGTAAGCTTTGCCTATTTTTAGTCTGTGTCATTCAAATGTTTACAAAATATTGACTGTTCACTTCAAGCGAGTGAAGCTGACAGTCAGAAATTCACATTTCCAATTCTGTAGCACATCACTTTTTAACAAAATAAAATAGGAAATTCCATGCCTGGGAAGAAAGCAGCATAACTTCCTCTGTTTTAAGAACTGGTGATTTAGCAGGGCAAAGAGCTCAAGAATGCAGTCATACATGTTTGAATGTTTTGCATTATTTTGATTCCTATCCCCTTGGGTTCTGCCATCTAATGCCATTGTTTCTGCCAGAAAAAGGTACTGCACTTATGACATTTAAAGTGGGTGCATTGCGTATCTCACAAAATTCATTAGAAAGTCTTGATTTTTGTGTGAAGATGCAGAAAATAAATGTTAGTTTAGGACAGTACAGAAACATAGTTGTCAAATCTGAACTAGTGTTTAAGCATAAAATGAGCTAGTATGGATATAAAAAAATAAAGAAACCAGTATGTATAGGCAGTGGTAGCACTTTAAGTGGTAGCACCAAGTTTGTTCTCAAAATTGAATGTTTAAGTACTCTCATTAAATATAATAACAAAATTGCTGTAAAAATCGCCCGTTTCTGGGTGCTGATCTCTACATATATTTGTTGATTTGTTTATTTAAAACCAAGTTACTCGATGGCTTGAATTCTCTATTTCCATGTTACAGGTCTGTTACCGCAGCTATTAGGAGTAGCACCAGAGAAGGCCATAAAACTAACTGTAAGTTTGCAAATGGGTGGTTTTCACATTTCTCCACGTTGTAAAGGGCATCAAATTACAATTAACCTGTTAAGGATTTTTATCCTTAATGTGTCAGCAACATGGTAGAGTGTATTCCTTCATTTGTACTTGATACAAACTTAATTACAAAAAGCACAAAGCAGCTGTTAATATCTTACTTGTGAACAGTATCAGTGACATACAAGTCACATGCAGAGATATATAGGTACATTTTAAGAATCTTAGTGAAAACTTATTTTTGGACTCACTCCAAAATATAACAAGCTTATTCAACTTGTTCAGCTCATCTCTTTGTTTGTAAGTCATGCAGGCCTTTAGTTTCACTTCTTAGTAACTATTATTGGACTAATAATTATGAATAACTATTTATTGGACTTGGAGGGCTTTTGTTTTTGTATCTCCACATGGTTCCTGTATGTATGACTCTAGCAGAACAGGAGGTTATATGAGCATGTAATCAATTGTTGGTAAGAAAGGAACTTGTTTGCATGATATTTTTTCTAAATGTTTTACTTCTGTAATTTTGTTATTTCTTGAGCGATTTTAAGGCACTGAAGAATTTCTTATTATAACCCAATCATAATGTATTGTTTATTCACTGATAAGCTAGTATTCACCAAAGCTAGTAGTATGAATTTAAAAAAGGTACTTAATGCTATTAATTGAATTGCCATTGTATTAAAACTTAGTATTGAACATTCTGATATTAATTTGATATTATATTTAAATGTAGTGAGCATGTCTAAAATATTAGATTATTTTATTTTTTCAGATTTTTAATTTAATTAGTGATTTATATTTTTTCAATAATAAATATCTGAATTATGCTTCAAATTTTTGTTAGAAAGAAAATCATAGCTTTAGAATGTTTAATACAAAATCTAAGATTTGTTTGATACCTTGTAGTTTGGTAACTTCATGGATGTATTTGCATTTTCAATTGCATGGAATTTGCAACTGATGAATGTTTTCTCTGACCTTTTAATTTATTGACTTTCATAAATGTTTGTTTTTTAAGGTTAACGATTTTGTGAGAGATAAGTTTATGAGTAAAGATGGCTCTGTCCCACTGGCTGCAGAAATTCTTGCTGGTGGCTGTGTAAGTATCTTTGATTTCCTTCATATATGAGAGTCATGAAAATGTGGTGTGGAAGATGAGCTATGTGGACTAAGGCTTCTGTTTAACCACAGATCCGGTTCAAGAGCAGACTCTACTAGAGCATCTCAGTTCTTTCCTAGATAGGCCAGCCATTCTTGATGAAAGGGTAAATGTTTCTGTGCATCATGCCTTTTAACTGCACTCTATAATTCTCACAGCTTAGAGTTTGTTTCCTTAATAAAGAATGTGTCTTTATTCATGTTGGCTGTAGCTTATGGCCTAAAGAGGATTCATGCTAACCTTTCCAGAAGTTAATAATTAGTTACTACTTTTTGGCACCCACTCTGCCACGTAACTTCTTTCCCGATGTGTTATTGCACCCACTAATTTTCACTTTTTGCAGTGATACTTGCTTTTTGAAATGGCAAAAACTACTCATGCTTCTTTGAGTTCATAGCAGACGTAGGCTGTGTAATGCTAACTCAGTGCATAATGCATTCCTGAATGTAGGTTGTATTTAAAACCCACTAAGTTTTTAAGAGTGTTTTGCTTTTACAAAGTAGTATCTTAATGAACAACTGGCATATTACTGAGTAAATGATAATTCTTCATGATTTAGTCTAGTTCTGTCTGTTCATATATATTACTGCTTACTTTTTCTGGTGTATTGATTTGTTCAAGCAAATGTAAATAGTTAGGTAGAATGAATAGTTGTTCAAAGAACAGTGCATTCTACAGATAAAGCACACTGTTTATTTAAACCAGCTTTGATCACTGGGGCAGAGCAATGTTGGTATATTTTCAGTCTGTCTTTGTTGCTGCTGTCATAAGACGGATGAGGTCACATTTTCAAGCAGCTTCTACCTGTGTCGAAAACTACAGTGAGCAGCAACTTAAAAACAAATGCTTGTGTCTTAACCTCAGTAGGTGCAGAGATCTGTGCTGTATGTGCTTGCAGAAAGTGAACTACGATTATCTGAGCCTCAGGGTGCAGTGGCTCAGTTGCGTTACAGGCTGAGAAGCCCTGGCTTTCTGTAATTCTCAGGAGATGGGGCAGGATTTGGCTGCTGTCTCACTGCTCCTTCTGTTTGATCACTGACCTGTTGTAGACTGCCAGGTAGGATCCCCTTGTTCTGTAACTTTAGGAGCACTCAGGGGAGAAAAAAAGAAGGGGAGGGAGACAAGAATGTGGGTCTCTAAAGCCCTAAATGAAAAGCATGCTGTAAATGAAGGAAAAATGCAATAAAGTGCTTGCAGAGTAAAAAGTATTTGCCCCTTACGCTAATAAAAAGTCTCATGAACGTAGCAGCCATAGAGAATTCAGCAAAATTTTCATTTAAAATGTCATTTGATCTAGAGTTTTTATTTTACAGACTGCTGTGAATTTTTTAATGCAGTACAAGAAGCACTCTTTATAGAGACCTGTCATTCATAAGAATGCTGCAGCAAGCTTTTTGCCAGTAGTTCACTGTAAACTAAGGATCTGCTTTAAGAGATAGGTGGTTTGAGATGTATTTTAAATGTACTGTAAATGTTGGCTTGTCCTCTTTGATATTAGAAATTAATATTAACAGTGAGATGCTGCATAAAGTTGTAGTGGTAGATGTATGGTGGCAGAGTGCCCTGAGTTTTCTTTTAACTGGAATGCTCCACTTAAGGGCATAGTTTGGTGCCAGGTAGATAGGTTGCAACTTGTTTCTTGTGCAGGTGGTCTTTGGGGATTTTTTTGTAATTTTAAACCCAATTCAGACTAGCAACAGAGTCTCTCATTACCAGCAGTGCCTATTTTTTGGGGGGTGAGTTTTTTTCTCATGATGTAAAGATATGTGTAAAATATGAGATGCCCAAGACAGGCTTTTTTCCTATAGCTTTCAGCATTGTATTGGCCTAACTTTTTGCCCTCGTTTAAGTCATCATGAAACCTATGATTTCACTGTGGAAGCAGCAAGGACACTGTTGAACGCTTTTGAAAATTTTCAGTCTTGGATTTTTACCCAATTTCACAATGTAGTAATCGCTTATGTGGGAGGCAAGAAGACAGGAGTGCATAATGTGTTGGAGTCTAAAATGGGGAAACCAACTAAGATGAATATTATAAGACACCTGCCCTACCACCTTTCCGCTTTCCACATCTAATTCTCAGCTGGGATTGTGTTACAAACACAGATTTAAATTTTCCTTCTTCAGTGCTTCTGTTTCCTTAGAGTGTATTCATTGCTTATGCAAGAGCTGTGTGCTGGGATGCATTCTAGATTGTAATGTTTTAGATATCAGCCTGTATTCACCTAAGAAAGGGAGGACAAGCAGATACTTGGATGGTTTGGGTTGTTCAGTAACACAAAGGGCTTTGAAGGGGTCAGTATCACCTGACTAGCTCCACTCTGCTGTTTGCCCAACCATTGCCAGGCGTTGACTTTTAAGTCCCCAAGGAGTTCGCTTTGCATCATAATTACTGAGAATTAGTACACATGGCTGACTTTTGCACTTGTAACTAAAGCCGATTGTTTCATTGAACAAGTCTTTTTCTGTTTTGTAAACTGTTTTCTCTCCTGAAAAAAAAAAAGAAAGAAAGAAGAAAAGAAGAAAATAGTTCTTTTATTTCATGACCTTGTGGCACTTAATTCAGTTAACAGCCTGTTTCATAGCTTTTTATTATGTGAAGATGAAAGCGATAGTTCGGTTGAGTTTTTTGGGGACCCCCAAGAATATAATTAAAAGTATAACCTTTATACTTAGGAAGGGTTGTTATGTAAATTACTAACTCAAAATTACCATCTCCTTTGTTTGTAAGAAATTTTCCTAGTGACTATAATATTTGTTACGCATAAAAAGTATATGTAACTTTCATATTTGTGCAATGCCTGACACCCACCATGAACTCTGGTCTCTGCTGTGCATTTAGGACTCGTGCAAATCCTATATAGCCCTTGTCATTATTAGGCTAGTATAAAGCTTCAGTTCCAAGGCACAGTGTAATGATACTGTAGAGCTAGGATCTGCTGAGCATCTAAATCACAAATCTGACCTAACCTTATTGAATGGAAATGTGCACAAATATGCTAGGTTTGATTTCTGCTAATGCTATAACTTACCTTTGGGAGTTCTTTAATAAAAAGATGGTCTTGTATAAGCTATAACTACGACTTGAAATCTCTTTTTTAGAGTGGCAATAATCTTGAAGTTTCTGTAGCTTTCTTTCATGGTCTTTCACTTGATTTAATATTTTAAGTAAAAAATAATTGTAGGTCATACCAAGTTTAGCTGCTTGCTTCTTATAAACTTAATTCATTTAAAGGCTTCTGATAAAAATAACCTGAATTTTTTTATGTAGCTCTGGTCGGTTTTTTTTTTTTTTTTTTTATATTTTAGCCAACTGTTGCATGGTGTTGATGAGATTTCATTAAAAGAAATCAATCTTAAGCACTGTCTTACCTTTAACTTTTAGGTAAGACAGTTGTTTTACTTAGTATCATAAATAAAGCATTTCCACATTTAATGAAAAATTTATGTTTGTGTAACTGGGATAGAGATGCAAATATGCAAAATCGTAAAACAGAAAAAATCATAAACCAGAAAAAATACTAAGAAAAACAGAAATATTGGATTAGGATGACTAAAAAGAATTAACTATATAATATATGTTGCCTTGTCTGCATATATTAATACAATGATATAGGTAAATACGCAGCTAAATTTTGAGCAAGAAAAGAGAAATACATTTTGCTTTATTAACCTTTGCTTCTGCTCTCCCTTCTCTTTCCCAGCACACACAGTCTTTTCATTCCCAGCTGCTCAGTGTGTGCTCACTATTAGCCAGCTTAAATCATGTAGCGTGGTACAATTACAGATCCCATACAGATCTGCTTTTGTTTAAATTGTCAAGACAATTTTAGATGTATTTCTAGAGACTTTATAGTAATTGTAATAAAGTTAAAACATATTGGACCTGCTTGGACAACCTCAACTCTGCTGTGGAAAATAAAAATTAAATACGGTTAAGATGCAGTTCAAAATCCTGTCCAGAATTAATTTTTATAAAGGAATGTAATGTGAAATTCCAGATAAATTGTGCCAAATAACAGATCCAGTGCAAATAGTTTTATTAAACTACTTACAATATTTATTTTATGTTTCAGAGAGTAATAAAGATAAGTCCACATCTGAGCTGCATTTTCTCTGTGGCATTGCAATAGAGATAGAAGGTGTATAGACTGCAGTTCCCACACTTAGATCTCTTACTTGCAAAAATTCAGGTATTTGGAAGTTTCAGACTAAAGGAGACTGAAGGTGTCATTCTCGTTTTCATTATTCAGAAACCTAAATCTGATAACATTCTATTATATTTGGCAAGGGAGGCTGAGCTGTGGGTAAAATGAAACTGAGCATTATATTTGCCAGGGGAAAAAAATCTCTGCATGTATATCTGAAAAAAAATAAAAGGCAAACAAGTGCTGTTACACAGAAAAGTTTTGGTCTAGTTTATTGGATAGTTAAGTAATGATGGTCGTCTTGATGACTGCTAATATTAGCTTTGAAAGCAAATGGCATATGTCTCTTGAATGCTTAAAAGATTTATTCTCAGAGGTCTATTCTCCCTGTAGGTAGAGAATGTAATTCCCATTACTTTCAAGCGAAGTTCTACCTGCATGTGTGTGCCCAACATTCACATCTGGTTTAAGCAAAAGTTCAGAATCTCCTAAAACGTACTTTTTTTCCTTGATTAAGTTTAAAGCTGTTTTCTTCTTGCATAAAATTTATGTCGTTAAATGAATTAATTAGATTTAAAGTCTATTTAATATAATGAATATAATGTAACAGAATATACTATAATTAATTAGGTATTTTTATACTGTAGTTTTCTTCTCTGAACCACTGTAATTGTAGTTATTTTCAGCATACTGAAAATCCTTTAAACCAAGTGTAAATTTTTGGTACGAAAACCCCAACTAGATCTGGACTTAAATTTCACTTCACATTTGGAAACTCGTATTTCAGCACTGCTCTGTTTTAATTGTCTCTGATAAATTTTCATCTAATTTTAGATTTAAACCTTATGATGAAGTTTGGGAAGGCAACATACAGTAACATGATACCCCTTCCAAGAGGTTGTATCAAAGGGTGGGAAAGTTCCTGGTGTAAAAGTTCCTGCTTTTCTGTGAGCTCACCCTATATTTCCTTGCAGTTTTCTGAAATTTTCACCTAGTCATACCTGTTTAAATTGGCCTTTCTCAAATCAGTGGTGAATTTTGCAGAACATGATTTCACTCTGTTTTGAATTTTCCTTTTGGATTAGTTAATCTAATTCTAATTCTTTTCCAAAAAGTATTTTTCCATAACAAATTAGGGATGCTTTCTTATTTTGTGTCCCCTCTCCTCTTTCTTTTCACTTCCTTTCTCCCGTGAAAAGAGCGAGAGAGAAAATTTTTCAAACTGTAAAACAAGGAGGGATGCATAGGTTTAGGTTGATATGTTTCTGATTCCAGAACCTAACAATTCTGAAAGCTTAAAAAGCTCATTTTTTTTCCAAAAAACATATACTTATTATTCATTCCATTTGAAACTTACTCTTTTTTCCTATTATATTAGAAATAATGACTGCAAAATTTTATATGAACATACATTACAGTTTAAAACATATATTTGTTTTGACAATTATATTTTATTACACATCCCTTTCTCCTATTACTTCTTCTTTTACTGGCAGTAAAATATTACAGTGTTTACCAGTGCAGGTTCAAAAATAAAAACAAACCAAAAAACAAAGGCTCAAACTCAAATCAGGAATTAAAATCTAGCTTTCTATGAGAAAAAGAAAGATATTTATGATGTCACAGTAATTTATAATGTGACCAAGAAATAATGGGTCATAGTTTTAATACAGCTACCATGCCTTAAGACTTGAAAGGTCGGTAAATCATTAAATGATTCTACAACTAGTCAAAACATACAAGTAGAGCAGACAGAGCCAAATGTTAACATATTTGACAGGTCTGTAACCTAATTGCTTTTATAATGCCAATCAAGTAGGCTCCACTTTGATTTTTTGGCTAGGCTTCTGAGAACTGAATTACCTATAACGTGGAAAATATCAAATCCACAATTTTAATTTTTTTCCCACTGCAGACTTGGTCAGTGCTTATAAACAAACCATACTCCTGTTTGTTTCTGTTTAGCCAGGTCATTAATATTCTATTGTAGGACAGTCTTCACAACTTGTATCAAGTCTTGGAAATCTGTCTGAAGCAATAGCAGGAATGTACTTCTGGTCAGACTAATTACAGGAGAGTAAAATCCCCTCGTCAGCAGTTCAACTGAATTCATCTAATGTTCTTGGGGTCTGTTGCCATACAATATGAAGACTTTTAGAGGTAGTTTGAAGCACTACAGTGGCACTCTCTAAATCTAGCTTCTTAGCCTTGTTCTTTTGTAGAGTTAGTATGTGATTTTGTGGTAAATGATTGAATAGTTCTGTGCCTTAGCTTCATTTTATTATGCAGTGAGGATGGCAGTTCTTCCATTCTTGCAACTCTTGAGTACATTTTTTTTTTTATGACAGAGAACAATCTTTATTTTGTGTCTGTACTTTAGGAATCTTGATTTTAAATAACATTAATGGATGATAGGAAGTGCACAGGAAAACAAACTGCATCCGGCAACTGGCAAGGAGTAAGGACTTGGGACAGAGTACAATGTTCAGGAGGACTTAATGTGATAAATAGTTGACTAAAAATTTTGGAACTTGCACCTGCTCGTCTTTTTGTGAATTAAACAAGTAACAAGACATTGTAGACAATTTCTTTTGCAGAGGTTGATTTTTGATAATTGCATAATATGTTACTAATGTATTTTAATGGTTGCCTTTAATTGCCATAATTGCAATCCCTGGGTGATATTGTTGAGAAATATTAACACTCTAATAGCAGTACTAGTCCTTTCTTCATCTGTGAAACCATAAGAGGGGATATGTAAATCGGATGGGATGCAGAGGAAAGATCCAGGCTGACCCTAAAGGCTGGTAGCTGAGAGCAGGAAAGGACCTATGATTTGAAGTAGGTAATAAGCTTAATTAGTGGAACAAGAACATTTGGTGGTCAGTAGCACTGAAAGGAAAAGAATCTAGTACTTTCTTCTGGAATGGAAAACAGAGAATTTCCATCCTGAATTGCAAGCTGTATTCTCTTCAGAAGGTACACTGAAGCTTTCAAATGGAGATGTGAAAGCCCGAGGAGAGTTGTGTCTGGTGTGCTCATTTCTTATCTAACCTCGTAAGGGCACAAAATGCAGTTACATTAAAAAGAACAGGAATTTCTTCTCTTAGTGTAATGAGGGGAGTGAAAATCTGTTTATTTTCCAGTAAGTTTATTGCAGAGTGATTTGAACACATGAAGAAGTAGCAAACATTCTGACTTCTCGAACTGGAGTATTTTTAAGTAGTTGTTATTAAACTTTTTTTTTTTATCACTACATAGTGGGTTTTATTTCTCCATGGACAAAACCCCCAAACAGCCTTCAGCTATTTCTACTTCTCCGTTCTGTTCAGTGAAGCAGGAAAGTAGAAGGAGACATGATAGTGCTGTATTACTGTACAAGACTATACTGCCATCGAGAGGTGTTGGATGATATCATACGAATAGCAGAGTTAAAGAACTGCAAAAATGAAAAAAAAAAAAAANCCAACTGAAACCTCTGTTTGTAAAAGTGTCATAAATATTATATTTGGGGTTTTGAGGTATTACCTTTAACTTTTAGGTAAGACAGTTGTTTTACTTAGTATCATAAATAAAGCATTTCCACATTTAATGAAAAATTTATGTTTGTGTAACTGGGATAGAGATGCAAATATGCAAAATCGTAAAACAGAAAAAATCATAAACCAGAAAAAATACTAAGAAAAACAGAAATATTGGATTAGGATGACTAAAAAGAATTAACTATATAATATATGTTGCCTTGTCTGCATATATTAATACAATGATATAGGTAAATACGCAGCTAAATTTTGAGCAAGAAAAGAGAAATACATTTTGCTTTATTAACCTTTGCTTCTGCTCTCCCTTCTCTTTCCCAGCACACACAGTCTTTTCATTCCCAGCTGCTCAGTGTGTGCTCACTATTAGCCAGCTTAAATCATGTAGCGTGGTACAATTACAGATCCCATACAGATCTGCTTTTGTTTAAATTGTCAAGACAATTTTAGATGTATTTCTAGAGACTTTATAGTAATTGTAATAAAGTTAAAACATATTGGACCTGCTTGGACAACCTCAACTCTGCTGTGGAAAATAAAAATTAAATACGGTTAAGATGCAGTTCAAAATCCTGTCCAGAATTAATTTTTATAAAGGAATGTAATGTGAAATTCCAGATAAATTGTGCCAAATAACAGATCCAGTGCAAATAGTTTTATTAAGCTACTTACAATATTTATTTTATGTTTCAGAGAGTAATAAAGATAAGTCCACATCTGAGCTGCATTTTCTCTGTGGCATTGCAATAGAGATAGAAGGTGTATAGACTGCAGTTCCCACACTTAGATCTCTTACTTGCAAAAATTCAGGTATTTGGAAGTTTCAGACTAAAGGAGACTGAAGGTGTCATTCTCGTTTTCATTATTCAGAAACCTAAATCTGATAACATTCTATTATATTTGGCAAGGGAGGCTGAGCTGTGGGTAAAATGAAACTGAGCATTATATTTGCCAGGGGAAAAAAATCTCTGCATGTATATCTGAAAAAAAATAAAAGGCAAACAAGTGCTGTTACACAGAAAAGTTTTGGTCTAGTTTATTGGATAGTTAAGTAATGATGGTCGTCTTGATGACTGCTAATATTAGCTTTGAAAGCAAATGGCATATGTCTCTTGAATGCTTAAAAGATTTATTCTCAGAGGTCTATTCTCCCTGTAGGTAGAGAATGTAATTCCCATTACTTTCAAGCGAAGTTCTACCTGCATGTGTGTGCCCAACATTCACATCTGGTTTAAGCAAAAGTTCAGAATCTCCTAAAACGTACTTTTTTTCCTTGATTAAGTTTAAAGCTGTTTTCTTCTTGCATAAAATTTATGTCGTTAAATGAATTAATTAGATTTAAAGTCTATTTAATATAATGAATATAATGTAACAGAATATACTATAATTAATTAGGTATTTTTATACTGTAGTTTTCTTCTCTGAACCACTGTAATTGTAGTTATTTTCAGCATACTGAAA